ACCGCGCAGCGCGCGGATCAACGAAACACCCAGGGTACCCTGGTGAAAAAAATCTGGTTTCTTGATGCTCGCCTCCCCTGTGTACAGTGGAGGCCCAGTCCACAAGAAACCTTCCGCAAAAAACCCATCCCTGATACCACATGCCGTGCATTCCTTTCTGGTGTGGACACGTCGCGCTTTCCATAGAATTATCCCGGCAAAACAACCTAACAGCGATGTGTAGAAGCATATATGGAAACATTCCCCTTAAGATCCAGATGAGAATCCACTTGTAGAATTCTCCAGTTCTCGCAGTCGCAGTCGCATTCGCGATGACAGTCGCAGTGGCAACGGCAGTCACAGTCACAGCCTCAGCCTCAGCCTGCCTCAGTATCAGCCTGCCTCAGCCTCAGCCTCAGCCTGCCTCAGCCTCAGCCTCAGCCTGCTTCAGCCTCAGCCTCAGCCACAGCCTGCCTTCAGCCTCGGCCTCAGCCTCAGCCTGCCTCAGCCTCAGCCTGCATCAGCCTCAGCCTCAGCCTCAGCCTCAGCCTCAGCCTGCCTGCCTCAGCCTCAGCCTCAGCCTGCCTCAGCCTCAGCCTCAGCCTGCCTCAGCCTCAGCCTCAGCCTGCCTCAGCCTCAGCCTCAGTCTGCCTTCAGCCTCGGCCTCAGCCTCAGCCAGCCTCAGCCTCAGCCTGCATCAGCCTCAGCCTCAGCCTCAGCCTGCCTCAGCCTCAGCCTGCCTCAGCGTCTGCCTCGGCCTGCCTCAGCCGCAGCCTCAGCCACAGCCACAGCCTCAGCCTCAGCCTCAGCCTGCATCAGCCTCAGCCTCAGCCTGCCTCAGCCTCAGCCTCAACCGCAGCCTGCCTCAGCCTCAGCCTCAGCCTGCCTCAGCGTCTGCCTCAGCCTGCCTCATCCTCAGCCTCAGCCTCAGCCTGCCTCAGCCTCAGCCTGCCTCAGCCTCAGCCTGCCTCAGCCTCAGCCTCAGTCTGCCTCAGTATCAGCTTGCCTAAGCCTCAGCCTCAGCCTGCCTCAGCCTCAGCCTCAGCCTGCTTCAGCTTCAGCCTCAACCTTAGCCTCAGCCTCAACCTTTTCCTCAGCCTCAGCCTGCATCAGCCTCAGCCTCAGCCTCAGCCTGCCTCAGCATCAGCCTGCCTCAGCGTCTGCCTCAGCCTGCCTCAGCCTCAGCCTCAGCCTCAACCTCAGCCTCAGCCTCAGCCTGCCTCAGCCTCAGCCTGCCTCAGCCTCAGCCTCAGCCTGCCTCAGCAGCAGCCTGCCTCAGCCTCAATTGGCTACGGGCATTCAAAATGTGGCCCGGGAATGGAGTTCTGGGAACTCGAAGAGCACGAAGTGGCCTACAGTTGGCTCCGGGCATTCAAAATGTGGCCCGGGAATGGAGTTCTGAGAACTCGAAGAGCACGAAGTGGCCTACAGTTGGCTCCGGGCATTCAAAATGTGGCCCGGGAATGGAGTTCTGGGGACTCGAAGACCACGAAGTGGCCTACAGTTGGCTCCGGGCATTCAAAATGTGGCCCGGGAATGGAGTTCTGGGAAGTCGAAGAGCACGAAGTGGCATACAATTGGAGCCGGGCATTCAGAATGTGGCCCGGGAATGGAGTTCTGGGAGGTCGAAGAGCACGAAGTGTGTGACTGTTGGCTTAAAACGACTTCTGCGGCACCCTGTCCGGCACCCGCTCAGACCCCCCTGTGGAGTCATCTGCTGCTCTCTTTTTAGCCCATTAGAAACCTATCAGTCTTCGCTGTTAGGAAAAAGCCCGAAACCCAAGAAACCCAGGGCACCCTGGAGGCAAGAAGGGTGCTGCTTGGCATGGCCCTCCAGTGTAAGGACACTGCACGAGCGAGAGAGCTCGCGAACAAGGCCAGCGCCCCTGTCGGCAAGCGCCGCGCTCGGAGCGTGGCCCAGCCACCCTGCGGGAGCTGCGCCGCTGGGGCACGTCAGGCACAAGGCGCCAGTCCCCTCTCGACGCGCCTCATCGCATCTTTCTGGTTGCGGCGCGTGGACTCGTTGGGCGAGAGCCCTTCGCACCTCAAGCCAAGCTTCCGCGCTGCGCGGGCATCGCCCGCAGCACAGTGGGACCCGCAGCGTACAGTAGACATCGTTGCCCCTGGGCACGTCGTGCCAAAGCGCGGCGAAAGCGCCCCCTACCTCCTCGGCCAGGGCAGATGGCACCAGGGCCGCGGGAGCCGGGGGCTGCGAGCTCCCTTCGAGCGCCAAAGCCGCGCCCAGGGCCATGCCAGCCCTTTGGTCGCTGCAGAGGACCCAACCCTCGCCGAAGGTGCGGAAGTACTCGGCGTTGAGAGCTCTGGCAACAAGCGAAGGCCGACATACACGATGGGAGCCAGTTTGCAGCGAATCGAGGGAGGCGCCTGTTGTGGCCGTGACTCCGCATTGGGTACATCGGTACCGCCCGAGGCTGGCACAGTAAGCAAGGACATGGTCCGTGCTTCGTGCCACCACAATGGACCTGGCCTGCTCGCAAGGTGGCCTGGGGACCTCCACGTCGTATCCCCATCGTTTGCGAGCCACCACTTGCAGTGCCGCCCACGAGATGAACTGCAGGACCTTGCGGTGCTGTTTAAGCGCAAAGGTTACCGCCTCGGCCACCGACCCAGCCAGCGCGTGAGAGGCCGCACCGCAGCGCGCGAAGTGGTCTGCCCAGCCGTTGCCTAGCCAGTCACGCAGCTCCTGCGGCTCTGTGCCCACAAGCTCCTGCAAGGACCTGTGCGCAGGCGCCCATCGGAACTTGGGAGGGTCCCGCAGGGTGCGTCTGCGGCTGGCCACGAAAAAGCCCCGCCACGCTCTAGCATGATTGGCACGACCCTGCTCGAGCTCGGGGCACCAAGGCTCTCCTTCCTGGGCGAGCGCCAGCAGGTCAGTGACGAAGCATTGGTGGTCAGGGAACGCGTCGAGCCCCTCCCTGATCGCGTGCCTCTCAGCACGGCCAACAGTCTGCACCAAGGCTGGAAGGGCCCGAAACGCGCCCTAACTGTGAGCCAAGAACAAGGATCAAGCTGCACAACAGCTTGTCCACACCTCCGCACCTCGGGAACACCTGAGTCGTAGCCAGACCCGTCGGTGTAAGAAACGGGGCCCCAAACGCCATGGGCGTCGCCCCAAAGGCAGACATCATGCCTCCGCGTGTCTGCGCGTGGCAGATCGGCGGAAGGCTCGGGTATGCCACCGACGAGGTAGGACTGCTCGTAATTCGGCGTGCCTGATCCAAAACCCGCTTGGATAAATTGGTCGCGCACCTCAGCCATCACCTGGGGGAAGTGGAAGATACCACGGCATGATGCGCCGAGGCTGGAGCCGCCGCCGCAGGGGACAACAAGTCACTCCGTTCCGAAGCAACCGGTGGCGTACAGAGGACACTCTGCGCGTCTAGCCGCACCACCTCCTGATGGCCGTCGTACCCATCGGGTGGCCCAACGTCGACCTCTTCGTCAACCCCTTGCCCGACGCCAGGAAGGCAGAGAGGGAGGAGGAGGAGGAGGAGGACGGGGAAGACCGCCCTTGTCCTCGCTGCGGCACAACCCTCGCGCGCGGCAAAAAAACGGCGTTGGAACGGGCAGCAGAAACGGCAAAACGGAGCTGGTCTAAAAAAAGGAACCTGTCGTTTCCAGGGCCCACGAGGGGTTGCGACACTCGGCCGAAGGGCGGGGGAGGGGAGAGGGGGGCTGAGTCTGGGCCAGCGCTGCGTCGATCTGCAATGACCAGCCACGCACAGCAGACTGGGGGGTGGTGGGGTCCTGGCCAGTCGCCAGAAACCAGCCTGAGGTCGGACATGTCGTCATACAGGCAGATTTGGGAAGAATCCTCATTAAAACCCAGCAACAATAAACAATTATCGAACAATAAAAACACGTCTAAAATCATCACCATACAATTTGTTCAACGATTCTTGAATATTCCTCCTGTAGAGGGTCATGCCCGACTTGAAACCAGACGCCAGAGGCAGCCAAGGTCTGGTCTGTGGAGCGAGGGTGGAATTTGAGGGGCCCGCGCCGATCAGCGAAGCAGTTTTTTGTTGTTTGGCATACATCATGTTTCGGCGGCGAGCGGCGGCGAGCGGGGGGGGGAGGTAGAGAAGGACAAGGCCTTCCTGGAAAGCGGCGGGACTTCTGAGAGGTCTTCTGTCTTCGCGGAGAAGGCCCGCCCCTTATCGGTTCCCCCCCTCGTTCGCCGCCGAGTGCTTTGGCCTACGCTGATTTTCGTATGGCCTAACTCTTTAGAAATAAAAAACAATCAAACATATGCTTCTCGTTTGGCCCGCACTGCTTCCTTGCTGGCACGCTGCTGATTGGAGGAACCTCTTACAGACGACCTCTGCGGGAGCGCGGCCGGGGGGCACGGCGAGGACGACAAGAGGGGCAAGGACCAGGTCTACGACAGACGGCGACGACAAAGGCGTGGAGGACGACGACGAGCAACATCGAAGAGACACATAAAGTCAACCCGTATAGTAAGGATGCGCGATAAGGATGCAAGGGCCTTGGACGCTCATTTCGAAGCTTTTCGAGTGGGGCGAGGCCAACGAAAGTGGCCAAGGATGGGCCGAGGAGGCAGGGATGCAAGGGTATCCTTGGGAAGGTTGCCCATCCTTACTGTGCGGGCCGACTATACAGTGGACCGTATACTTGTGGGCGTCGCGTAATGCGGGGGCGATCCATGGGGGGGCACCGAGGGCTGCAGAAACGGGGCCCTTTCTGGGCCTCTGAAGGGGCCTCTCCAGTGCCCAGATGGAGAGCTTGTATGTAGAGCCCGAAAAATGCACCTTTCTCCCCCCCTAGTATTCGCCCCACCACTAAGCGACGCCCAATACTTTCGGAGGTCCGCGCGAACCTCCGGAACTGTTTATGTTAATGCCGTTTCCTCCTCCGGAAACGACGACGAAGACTAGACAAGCGCGCTCCACTACTCGCAAAATTGCTGCTCGCAGATGGCGGAGCAGGACGGCAGCGACGACGACGGCGGCGGCGAAGACGGCCCGATGGGTTCCCGCCTGGAGTGCTGCCAACGCCACGGGGGCCGCGGCCTGCGCAACCTGAGGGGAGCCGCCACGGGCAACGGCCTGCGGCAGCCGGGCGGGAAGGGGAGGGGGGAGGGCACGGGCAGCCTGCCACAAGATCCGGAGGGTTACCCATCGGTAGAAACGTGAAGTAGGAAGGTATTGAAAATAGATTGGGTTCCGTCCGCCCCTTTGGAGGACGGAAAAGGTGAAGCCATTCGATCATCGAAGTAGGAAGGCGCTTAAAGTAGATTGGACTCTGGGAATCAAGAAATACCTACTCTCAACAAACGATAGGTACACTCGGGCCTAGGCGAAACGAGCACTTTTCAAGAACACGAGGCCCTCCGCCTGCCAAAACACACAGAACAGCAAAGGGTCCCCTCACCAGGATGCACAAAAACATCCAACAAACACAACAACACTGAAAACCCGTGTGCGGCAAACCACCCGCGGACAACATGGGTCATGGACGGGTTGTGGGACGAGGCGTTATGAAAAACATTGTGACCACGTGTAGGTTCATGTGACGCGGTCTGTGTCGCGCTGGCGTCGATATCAATACCTATATCAAACAACAGATGCTGCACATGCGCCATGGTCTCTTGAAAAGGGTATTGGTACCTCCCTGCAGATAAACGATCGAAATCATGCCCGCTGAAACCAAAAAGTGGTTGCCCACCACGCACGCTGCCCAATAATCCTGGGACCTGTCGGTCAGAAGAAGCGGGTCGACACATGAGGTAGGAAGGCGTTGAGCACTTTGCCTCGTAATCTTGGATTCAGGCATTGAACTAACTCGGTCGATAGGCACTTGTTGTGGATGCTCTGGTAGCTCATCTTTCAATCGTGGTCCCAAGTTACATCTCAGAGATGATGATCTTGATGCAATGGCGCACTATTCGGAATAACCGGTAAACAAATGTAATAAGAGTACATGTGTATGGTATAGCCGGCCGAGGGAAGGGAGCCCCCCCGCGCGCGCGAACACATTGCACGAAGCACACATTGCGAAGAAACGCATCACATTATCAGATGCCTTGTTATAATATGGCTCCGCCAACCCTCAGTTGGAGGGCAATGGCGGCGAAGCAAAAGAGCACACGAGTGCAGCGAAGCTAATGACAGTATCATATGTCTTGTCATAAAATGGCTCCGCCAACCCTCAGTTGGAGGGCAGTGGCAGCGCAGCAAAAGAGCACACGAGGGGAGCGTAGCTAATGACTCGTCGTAAGTCGATTGGGCCTCCGCCCGCCCCCTGAAGAGGAGGGACGAGGGGAAACCACTCGACATTGGAGTAGGCAGGCGCCTAAAGTAGATTGGGACATGGGAATCCAAGAATACCTACTTTTTCAACGACAAACGTGAATCTCTCTGAACGTACTGCCCGAGTCCAACGTCTGGGGATCAATCAGCCAGATGACAGCATGGTTGTGATACACAAGGCCTAAACTAGCACCCCAGGTACCAAACTCATTCCTCCCCTCATCCTGCTCGTCTCTCCCCCTCACTGCTCCTCACCATCGCTCGGACGTACATTCCCCGTACATGTTTCGATGTCGCGCGTGCGTTTGTCGCAAGATGATCCAGCATGCTCCTCGATGGCCCTCGCCCCCCAAAAATGAGCACGCCCGAGCGATACTAAGCCCCCTTCTCTTCCTCGCGTATGAAGAAGATGTCGAGAGGGGGGAAGGACAAGGAGGCGGACCGAGAGAGAAAAGTACAAGAAGGCTGGGGAGATGAAGAAGGCGAGAAGAAACATGGGGAGACTGGGGGACTTGGAGGAAGATGGGAGAGTGATGCGAAGAACGCGGTGGGAGGGGGAAGGGGCAAGGAGAGATTGGGGGAGGAGGTGACGGGGTGTGTCCGGGTGGGTGAGTGAGGTTTTTGAGCAGCAGCAACAGTCGGAGGGGACGAAAGGGTAGGATAGCAAAGGGCAGGGTAGAGAATCATCTTACGTAGCTGGTTTTCCTGGCGCTTCCTGGCGCCGGGAGGCACCCATGTATCAAGGAATGGGCCCGGCGGCGGGGCCGAAACCAGCTGCATCCAGCAGACGTTGGACCCCCCCTTTCCCTATCCTACCCCTTTCTCCGGCCCGAGTGGGTGGGTGGGGGGGGGAGGAGCAGCAGCAACAGCTGCATCGGCAACGTTGCAACGTCTTCCACATGTAACTCGTTCCTCTTGCGGACCGTGCCGCCGGCTGCCATCGCGCATGCGGACGCGCCTCCTCGATCTTGCGCACCTCCTGCGCTCGAGCGCGCTAACTGGGGGGGGGGGGCGCAAGCAGAGAGGAAGAAACCCAGGCTCCTGGCGTCACGAACAAAAAAAAACACGGTGGCCGATGTGCGAATGGATTGGGGCCTGCCTTGGCCCCAAGGTCATCAGAAAACCGGACGGGATGAAAGGCCGACCCCTGGGATGGAATCTGGAGGTCCAGGGGCCCATGTCGGGGGAGGGGGTCGGGATGACGTCGGATGTCTGGGGGCGAGGGCGGAGCAGGGACATAGAATGGAGGGAGGCAGGGACGGGCAGCCGGGGGCCACGACCTGCACGCGCACCCGGCGGAGCGGGAACAGGGCATGAAGGGGGATGAAGGGGTGAGCGGAGCAGGGAGGGACGAAGAGAGGTTGGGAATCGGCGTCGGATGCCTTGGGAGAGGGCGGAGCAGAGAGAGGCGGAGGGAGGCAGGGGAAGGCGGCCACGGGCAACGACCTGCACGCGCACCCAGTGGAGCGGGCACGGGGGAAGCGAGGCGAGCGGAGGAGGGGGGACGAAGAAAGGCCACGAGAGGCGGCGGGGGCAGTTCAGACCTTACGACGTTCTCGTGCTGCCTCCTCCCTCCTCCCTCCTCCCACCACCCTCCTCCCACCTCCCTCCCTCCTCACCCCTCCCCCCTCCCTCCTCCCTCCTCCCTCCTCCCTCCTCCCTCCTCCGCCCCTCCTCCCTCCTCCTCCTCCTCCTCCTCCTCCTCCTCCTCTCCTCCTCCTTCTCCTCCTCCTCTGCCCCCTCCCTCCTCTCCCTCCTCCCGTCCTCCCGTCCTCCCGTCTTCCCGTCCTCCTCCTCCTCCTCCTCCTCCTCCTCCTCCTCCATTCTTTTCCTCATCGATAACTTCTCCCTCTCGCACCCCCAAGTTAGTTTTTAAGGCGGGCCCGGCCTGAGTCTTCCTCACCATTTACGACCCGGAAGATTTAAACTGACAACAGCTTCACAGATGGAGGGCGGGTCGTTTTCAAAATGAAGTCCTCGCCTTCGCGCCGCGCAAATTCGTTTTCGACATTTGCAAGTGTTTCACGGATTGGGAGCGGGTGATTTTCAACATGTGGCTCTCGCCTAGGCGCCGCGCACATTCGTTTTAAAAAATTACGAAGAGTTTCACGGATTGAGGGCGGGTAGTTTTCAAAATGTGGCTCTCGCCGTAGCGCCGCGCACATTCGTTCTTCAAATGTGCAAGGCTTTCACGGATTGAGGGCGGGTGAACTTTTAAAAAAGTGGCTCTCGCCGTGGCGCTGCGCACATACGATTTAAACAGTTTGAAACATTTCACGGGTTGAGGGCGAGTGGTTTTCAAAATGTGGCTCTCGCCGTAGCGCCGCGCACATTCGTTCTGAAATAAGTTGCCAGAGCTTCACGGATTGAGAGCGGGTGGCTTTCAACATGTGCCTCTCGCCGTAGCGCCACGCATATTCGTCTTCAGCATTCGCAAGAGTGTCACGGATTGAGGGAGGGTGGTTTTCAACATGTGGCTATCGCCGTAGCGCCGCGCATATTCGTTTTAAACACTTGCAAGGGCCTCGCGGATTGAGGGCGGTTGCTTGTCACCATGTGGCTCTTGCCGCGCACAGTCGATGTTACACATCTGTAGGCGTTTCACGGATTCCCACCATCAACGATCCAGAACATGCGTGTTGGATGGATTCCGGATTTTGAGGGTGCAACAATTACGTTGGTTCGCGGTGTTGTCAGCCCAAGAAAAGCTGTTCTGGCGCGAGCCTGGATCGTCGAGACGCAACAGTCAAGTTGAACCGTGGCGTTGAAATCCCGAGAACCATGTTTTGGCATGCGTCAGGGTCTTCGGTCGTCTTCCAACGAGGCAGTTCCCTCAGTGGAAAAGAACCGTTGCAGAGGCCGATGAAGAAAAGGAACTTGGAGGGAGGGTGTCTTCCAACATCGTTAGTGACTCTTGGATTGACACTGGTCCTCCTCCTCCTCTTCCACCTCCTCCTCCTCCTCCACCTCCTCCCGTCCTCCTCCTCCTCCTCCTCCTCCTCGTCCTCCTCCTCCTCCTTCCCTCCCTCCTCCTCCCTCCTCCCTCCTCCCTCTGAGAGTGGAAGACCCACACATAAAACTGGACTTTCGTAGGGCCGCGTGAGTTTCTTGGGCCAACGTTGTGTCGCACTTCCTTGGCGCACGGAGCGCGCTGGGGGCGACGCCGGAGGTCTGGCAGGGGCCCCTCTGTGCGGGCAATGTCTATATCCACATCCAGTGCGTCTTGAAGATTCGGGCTCTCTCCCCAAAAAACATGAGGCGCACTGGATATGGGTTAAAATCTGGCTCCAAAAGGCTCGATGTTTATCCATATCCAGTGCGCCTCGGCCTTGCGGCGCCCCGTCCAAGAAAGTCCAAGGCGCACTGGATATGGATATGAGTATTGCCCGCACTCTGGAGGCCAAAGGGAGAGGAGGAGGTCTGGGAAAATCGTGGTCCGATGAAGAATTTGGGAATTCATCGGAATTTCGGAAGGCTTTCGGGATGGCCACGGCTGGGCTACCCGAGCCCGCGCCAGGGGGCGTCCCTCGCGCACTCATCGCCTTCTGAGGACGAGGAGGAGCGAGAGAGAGCGAGCGAGAGAGAACAAAAGAGAGAGAGAGAGAGGAGGAAGAGGAGGACGGTGATGTTTGGAAGTGCCTCCCCACTTGAAACAAAACCGGACGTGCAAAGAGGCATGGACCGACAGGAAGCGGGTCGTGTGCAGCCAGGCCCCCGCCCCCCCGCACGAACCCTCGCACCCTTGGGGGGGAGGCAATCACGCCATCAACGTTTGCTAGATCAAGAACACGGTGCAGCATGCCAGTCACGAGCAGTCGCGAGCGAGGCCGAACAAAGGCACCTGGTGCACTTTCTCCTGCACTCCGCGAGCCTGTGCTGAGAGCAAAAGGCCGAGAGGACGGCAGCAGCAGGCGCAGTTAGCGGGGAAGGAGGCCCGACGAGGGCCCTCCCAGGGCTACAAGAGGCCTCCAAGAGGGGCCCACGTTATCCCCCGCTCCGAATCCGCGCGACGGAGTTGAAAGCAATAACCTCTAGTGCCCTATTCGGGGCCGCTCGAAGACCCCAAGATGGCTCCAGAGGGCCCTAGTAGGGCTCCATGGAGTCCCAAGAAGGTTCCAAGAGGGGTCCCAGTGAGTCCATGATGCAACTCCGCCAGGCGGAGTTCGAAGCGATGACTTCCGGTGTCCGCTTGGGGTCCCTTGGGCCCGTAAGACAGCTTCATAGGACCCCATGATGCCCCTCTCAGGGCCGCAAGAGGGTTGCAAGAGGGGTCCCAGCGAGTCCCAGGTCTTACTCCACCCTGCGGAATTCGAAACGATTACTTCTAGTACCCTGTTCTGGGCCGCTCGAAGCCCCCAAGACGGTCCTAGATGACCAAAGGTTATCCCAAGAGCTCCGAGGGGGTCTCAGAGGGGTCCCAGAGAGCCCCTGGTCCAACTTTGCCTGACGGAATTGAAAAGATATCTTCCAATGTCCTCTCGGGGGTCCAAGACGCCCCCAGTGAAACCTGCCGGTGAATTTGCCGGCTGAGTTTTGGGCCGCAGGAGAACTTCAAGAGGGGTCTAAGTGAGCATCAGGTGGCACGAGCACTCCCCCAGCGAAAATGCTGGAGAATTAGAAGCGGATTTGGGGTTCTTGGAGCCAAAAACAAAGAGGACGTATCAAGCCAAAACATCCAAAACAACTCACCAGGAATCCGCAGAGAATCCACCAAGGTTTTCACCGGGGAATCTGGCGGAGAATCCGCCGCAGGATTCCGGGACTCCTGTGGAAGTTCGAAGCCGACGGACACGCCGAGAACGAGGTGACGAGAATGTACAACATGAGAACGACCAGGTCCTCTCGAGACTGTCTGGGGGCCTTCCTGAGAGTTGGACTTACGAATCTGGGCCCCGACCTTGGCAATCCAACCTTGAACTCTAGGTGTCGGGCCTCTCTCGAGGCTCTCTTGGGGCCCCTTCGGGCGCCCTTGGAGACACCATGATGCTTCTTGGGGTCCTCTTGGGGGGGCACTCCGAACGGGCTGTGAAATGCACTCCCTTTGGCTCGAAGTTGGGATGGGCGCGTGCTGTCGTGAGGGGGCAAGGGCGAATGGAAGTGTTGAGGCCCAAGTGTTTGGGCCAGACAATTTGACCGAGTCGCGACAGCCGTCTCCGATCGGACATTTTACGCTGGCGATGACCGCAGCGCGCGCGACATGCCGCGTGGCCCCGAAACAGACCAGAATCAAATACAGGCCTAGCATGAAATGTAGACTTTAGGAGGGTAGGAATGACTCTTAAGGTCGCAAGCACCGCGATGCGTCGACGCGTCTGTTACACGGCCACACGGGGGTCATATACGACAACATGCGCGCCCCAATACGTGCGGTGGCAAAATGCAAGGTAACGCGTCGTAGCTGCTAAGCTGTCCGCTACGCTCTCCAAGACGCCAACTGATGGGGCGCGGCGCGCTACGGCCGAAACAACATGAGGGCACGGGCTCTGCGCTGGCAATCAGGCATCTTAAGTGATGTTGTGCGTTAGACACAGGAAGCGGCGCTACTCGACTTTACAGCGAGGTTGTAAGGCGTAAGCGCTGATGCGTCATGGGCCCTGGGCGAGCGAGGCAATCACCTGTCTGCACACACGACGACAGCAATGTTCTGCTACAAAGTCTGAACACCCACTTGGTGTGTAAATGTTTGACGGTTTACACATGCACCTCTCTTTTTTCACCCTCGATCCGTTGCTCTTACCAGGCGCCATGATCATAGCGGACTTCGAACCCCCAGGGGGACCTAACTGTACCATGCGCAATCACAAAAGGAGAGCTGCGTACAGTGGAGGAGGATGAGGTGGCGGATGAGCAGGAGGATGAGCATGAGGAAGAGAAGGAGGACGAGGAAGGAGGACGAGGACGATCAACAACAGAAGGAGCTGGAGGGGAATGAGCAAGAAGAACAGGAGGGCCAGGGGACGGTGGAGGGGTCAAATGATGGGGCGGCAACGATGACGAAGAACTTGGATCCAACAAAATGGCCCGCGCTGGGGCGAGAGTGAAATTCTGAACGACGAGGGCAAAACGACGATCCGAATATGAGACCCACGCTGCAGCGGGAGAACCATTGTGAAGCACCGAACACACTCGAATACTACAACACAGAAGAGCATTACACATGAATACGCGGTGCGGGCTGGACGCCTATCGGGCAGAGACATGGAAGAGAATTGAGTATGCAGTAGGTGTAAGTGTAAAGGATGTGGATCGGGTCGGGTCGGCCCTTCGGCAGTTGGGCGATCGCTCGGCGTTAGCTCGAGTGAATGGGTGATCCCTCTGGACTGCCTCCAACTGCTCGCGCTGCATCAGTCGGGAGCCAACGGAACGCTCGAGGGACACGTGGGCCACCAGACCCCGTTGGGCCATCGTGAGCTCTGAGGAAACCATGTCTCCTCGATCGCCCACATCGTCCACGGGGTACCCTCTGGCCCTTCCCTCCGTCCATGGGCCTCCGCCGTCCAGTGGTTGGCCTCCGGATTGACGTGGGAGTCCACGAAATCCTGCCCCCGACGCCGCTGCGCAGCGCCGCTACCACGGCAGAGCACGACATCGGCAATTGCTTTGGGGGGGTACCAAGAGCAGGATGCTACGGCGGAACAGCCCACCCTTCTCCGCACCACCATCGTCGTCATTCGGTGACAACCCACGGGAGCCTCCTATACCATCTTGACGGCTCTTGCGGATCGACTGAAGCCGACGCTGATCGACGCTAAATCGACGCTGCTCGACGCCAGCCGACGCTAAATCGGCGCTATCTCATCGACTCCCAGGCGCTAATCGACGCCAGTCGACGCTAAAGATATAATGAAAAGGGTGCACCAAGCTCCCATGTTTTGCGACTGAATCATAATATGTGCCGTCCGCGAGTGTTGTGGCGATCGCGTGCCTCCTGCTCCTCCCCGTTCTCATCAGCGTCCTCATCCTCCTCCGTCCGCGTCGAGCCCTCCACGCGGGACTCGAAACCGCGCAGCCCCTTGTGACAAGGAAGGAGCGAGCAGAGGACACGGGCAGAGACTGTGGAAGGAGGCAGGGCAAGAGTGGAGAGACGAGGGTGGAGAAATACGGGAGCGCGAGGAAAGGATGGAGGGTAAGAACGATGATGAAAGAGGAGATGCGAATAAAGAGGGAATGTGAGCAAGGAGTCGGGATACTGATGAAGGGGGTGGGGAAGGATGAGGAAGGAACGACGAGGGAGGGAGAGGAATCATCATGAACGGACGGGGGGAAGGTGGACAGAGGAGGGACGGTAAGAGAAAGAAAGAGATGGAGAGAGAGTGAGAGAGAGAGAGAGAGAACCAAAATAATGGCGCCCAGAGCTCTCGCACAACTCCCGCTGCCTTCGACACCTCTGCCGCCACTGACCCATCGTTTATTTCTCCCCTCCCACTCTTCCTGACGACACTCGGATAGTCAAAGCCTGCCAGCTGGACCACGCAGCGAGAAGAGGGTGACTCCATAGAGGAGGGGGAGGAGAAAGCATGAGCGGAAAGGCGTGACACAAGACGGAAGGGGGGCGAGGCAGAGAAGGAGGGAGAGAAGAGGAGGCGGAGGAGTGGACGAAGGACTGAGACTACGGACGCATCAGCGCAAGGAAACAATCAGTCAGCTCCCTGCCCCCCTCCTAGTATTCCCCCCCCCTCCCTTGACAATGACGGATTCCTTATGTTGGTTGTTCGCCGCGCTTGCCCCTCCCCCCCCCCTTTGCCTAGCTCGAGCACGTGGTGGGCGTGGCTGCGCAGCGTGCGTGATCAAAATCCGCTCTCCATAAGCGAGTACACGTGTACGCAGAGTAGATTTCGACCCACCTGGGTCGTCAATTCTTCTATATTTCAATATTCTGCTACGGGCCCCACAACCCAAATTGCCAAATTTACTGCGGCATCTCGCGTGACGATTGGGTCGCCCCGCGCGCCAACTGGGGATCGACGCGTGATTTTTCCATAAGCCACTGAGCGCCCAAACGGGGCCCAAGTCGAAAATGTCCCTTCCGTCAATGAAACGTCACATACGGGGGTGCAGGAATAACAGGAAAGGTTGATGGTAATAGGACGGAGGATGGGAGCACATGGTTCTACTCTCGCAACAAGAACACGCGGCACGCAATGCCCAAGTGGGCGCGCGCTTTTCGTGATCGAGCCCAAATGGCGGGATGATGCGATATAAGCCCATCTTGAAGCCGCCCACAAATCGCCCCCGTAAATCGGACAAGGGGGAAGACTGAGATGGGCGCACACCCCCCGCACAATTAAGCTCACGCAGCACTGACAGCAGCGGAGCAAGACGCAACGGGCAAGGGGGCCCGGAGCGCGCAGCTCAGAGGACATGAGCACGGTGAGCAAGCGCACGAAGGGGCGACATATATGATAAGACGCAAAGCCATATCCGGTCAGAAGAGTAGACTAGGGGAAGGCACCCCGTGATAATGGAGCGAATGGAACTGATACCACCGCTGAGCGGGCTTCTCTTCGCGCAAGCATGGCCGGAAGAAGCGCGCAAATTGGCGACAAACTGACGAACGGCGCGGAGAGCAAGCTCGACAAATACAAGCGCCGCTTTCTCGTGCGAGTGAAGAGCGCGCTCGGCAAATAGGAGCGTGGCTTTCCTTCGCCTAGCCAACAACAGAAAACGTCGCAATTGCATTGCGCTCGCCGCCGCCCTATTTGAGGCAGCCAGGGCGCCGCGCTGCCAGCGGAAAGCACCACTGAACAGGGCAAACATTTAGATTTCACGTCGGAACGTTTGTTTGCACAACGTTACCACCAACAACAATTATCCAGGTCAGTGGTGCCTGTAGCGCGTGCGTCCGCAAACATGTCGCGCGCGCTCGACGATTGCACTTCGTGCACAGTGCATACGTCCACCGCTGCCCGTATCCAACTAATGTCTCCCAATGCGCAGTCGGTCGGTATGTTCAGGTCTTCACTCGACGAAGCTGCGCATGCCGATTTCGCGTCGATAAATAGCCGCGCGTCGATGGATCGTCCGCGCTAGTTTTCGGATGCCTCTGAAGGCCTTGGGCGCTCACGGACAAAACTTCAACTCGTGCAAGGTGGCCAAAGTGGGTAGCCGTCGCCTATTTTGTGAGCCGCGACAAGTGCATCGGTTGCATGACTTGCTCGGGCTTGTAACCGATGGAATTCGAACGCACCGTGAACGAAGTGCATGGCGGGCTCGTGTTTTGACGAGATACACTGGCGAATAACATTGGCACCGCGCATGCCGCATCCCTTCTCATCGCCTTTCCCGTCCCCACAGCGTTGCACCCCCGAGTCGCATCCGTCTCCATCTGCTCTGTGCCCCGAAGCGCTGTGCATATCTACGCCCGTCGAACACTTCTGGCCAGGTGAACGATATTCTTGGGGTCGCGCATGAGTTTCTTCGCCACCGCGCTGGGCCTCCGAACCCGCTCGTCAGCGGACCCCATGTTCCATTCGGAGGGAATGAACATGCGCCATAAGCCAAACTTGCGCGAGAAATGCGCAGGCAAGGACCCCATCGTAAATTGGCGAACGTTTCGGATACTATCTTAGATGCGTTGTCGCCAAGTTCATCTCCAATGAGATCAGCATGCAAGATCTCTGTAATGTATTCACCCTATACCAGCGCCGCGTCTCCGTCGTTCGCCCTGGTGTATCCCGCAGCGCAGTTGGTATGTGTATGCCCGTTCAACTCACAGGCTCCGAATACCTGATCCGCCTGGCGGAAGTAGTAGCCAATGTGTTTCTCAAGGCTGTCGTGGCTGTCGTGATCATGTCGTCGACATGTTTTGCTGACAAGAACTCGCTTTCCAATTTCACACTCCGTCGGGTCGGGGGCCGATGTTGCCACTCGTGTTTCGCAGCAGCGCGGAGAATACACGTTGGGCGTCCTTGGTGCCGGTGCCTGTTTTTAGGCACTGAGGCCGGCGTCGACCTTCGACGCAGTGACCAAATCCTGGCAGCGAGCGCAGGAACCTGCGAGCTGCCCCAAGGCAAGGTGCAGCACCCCATTATTTCCTGCTCTCCCGTTGCTTCCGCCAGCTCGGCATAAATCAGCCCTGTCGGGAACGCCTTGCCAATACTCACGGGAACAATGACCAAATTGTGATGACATCCTGGGTCGCCGGCCACCATGCGCTGCGACGTTCGGCGGGCAGTGCCAGAAAATGTTCCAACGCCGAGGTCTTGAGGACCCATGGGACTTCTCAGTACGAGGAGAAATCGCATGATACGAATCAATGCGCCATTCGTTTCTTTGACAGACTTTCGCTCGCACACGAGGCGCGAAGTCATGGTGTCACTGGTTTTAGATATCTTAGATCTTCGGGTATCGCCCATCTATCCCGGTGCAATTAGGTAAACAAATCTGCGCTTCTGTTGGATATCCTTATTTGCAAAACATTCCGTTTTCCTTGACGACTACAAGCTGTTCAGCAGCAACTGAAACATAGACTCGCAGTGCTGTGACGCCACAATGGTTAAGAGCTTCCGCCTTTGCCGTCAGATCTTCGTGTTGTGGTTCCTTTGAAAGAAGTTTGGCCATGTTAGATGCGAAACACACATCGAAACACTTCCAAACTGCAGTCCTCGTCGAGGTCGCACGGCCAGAGCAACATTGCATATTATTTCGGACCTTCTTGCGGGTCTCCCGGGTCGGCAAATCCAGCAAATATCAACACCCAACCGTGTGCAGTCATGGTAACGGGCAGTCCCCAAGAAGTCATCAATTTCCTCAGCCACTGGCCGTAGGTCTGTCTCCAGAACCCCTGGCCAGCTTTCAATGATAGCTTCATCAATTCCTCGTTTTCCTCTTCGGAGATGGTTCACAACCTCTCTTCATCGGCTGCAGATATGCTATGGGCGTCTCAGGAGCAGCAGGGTCATCGCCGGCTATTTTCGGGCCACCTGAGGGTCCGTCCGCTAGCTCCTGGACTTCTGCCAAGTATGAAGTAAAGCCCGCACTGTGTAGCTCTCCAGCGGCTGTACCCGATGATCTGCGATGTGTTCAGTGCTTACCCGCTGTATTCCTCAGAGTGGCACCTGAGGGTGATGTCGCTGTCATCGCGTATGAGAATGCACTCGACTGCATATTTAAATGTCGGAACGGAGTGCCTGATCTTTGCTGCTCTCACAGCGAAGACGTTCTCGATCCAACAACACGTCTTAATGGCCAATTGCAAAGCCATGTGTCTTCTAGGCAAGATCTCATTGGCAGCGTAGGATACCCTTGACGTCTGGTATATATCCACAAGGTAGGGCAAATTTCCCTGCGCCCAGGCACGGAATGAACGTGATGACGGCTCTCGTGGACAACATAGCCAAGAAAACTTCTACCATGAGTGCGCGATGAACACCAGGGCGATGGACAGGGACCTCTCGGCCTCCAATCCCTGCAATCACTTGTCCCCTTTTCGGTTTCGTTATTGATGATAGGGCACGGGCCATTGTCATGATCAGCATCATCATCATCATCATCATCATCATCATCATCATCATCAGCAGCATCAGCATCATCAGCATCATCAACATCAGCATCGTCATCATCATCGACACCATCATCATCAGCATCATCATCGACACCATCATCATCAGCATCATCATCAAGCATCAGCATCAGCATCATCATCATCATCATCAGCATCATCACCCACATCATCCTCACAATCGCCATTCATCATCAGGTCTCTCCCAAGCCTGGAGACACGAGGTGTCACATGCGACGGCCTCTCGTGCCCCATCGAACAGTCGCCACCCAGAATGCTAGGCTGACACGGTGGTGGGACTTGCCGCAGACAGCTGGATAGTTGTACAAACAAAAGGGGCGGTTCCCTTCCCACCCCGAGCCGGATCTCCCAAGTCCCTTCACAGAGCAAGTGAGAGAGCGACGTTGGAGTAGTTCGACCAATTGAGCGTGAGAGTGTGGGAAGAAGCATGCGACTCAAGGCTACATGGAGGGCTAGGGAACAAATAGCAAACATTCAGAAGCGACGAATACGTGTCAATACCAACTCTCCATATACAGCTGCTCATACCCATGACGGTCCACAAGCTTGGAAGCAGTGCGGTCATCCAGGAACTCGTCTTCAGACGCTCCGTTGTAGAACTTGATGGTGGGAAAGCCCTTGGCAAACAAACAACATCCGCCACCGTGCCGCTGGGCACAGAGTGGGCGTGTCCACAGGTCCTTTGCTCAATCCTCTAGGCCTCAATCTTCACCCCTGAGGAGCGAGTCTTTGAGGGGCCCAGAGCCCACATTGCCAGATCTCGAGGGGCTTGGCGCGTCTGGTCGTGACTTCTCGCATGACATGTTCGGAGCCAAGAGGGCCCAAGACGGGCCGAGAGAACCCCAATAGACCCCCAAAACGGCCCAAGAGGGCCCCGAGTTGCCGAACTATCGCGAACGCCCCAAGAGGCCCCCAAAACGACCCCAAAACAGCCCAATTGGACCCAAGGCGGCCCAAGGGGCGCCACGAGGGGCCCCTGGGAGGCCCCAAGAGGCCCTCCAAGAGGCCCCAAGAGACCCTCTAAGATGCCTCCAAGGGGCCCCCATGAGGCCCACAAGAGGCCCCCCAGAGGCTCTCAAGAGGCACCAAAACTGCCTACAAGATGCCCCCGAGAGCGCTCCGAAGAGACCCAAATAAGCATCCCTGCGAACTCTAACCCACAACCCAGGCACGGTGGCGGGGTGGGCCGAAGGCCTCTGGATCCGCCGCCCCCTGTCGATTCATCGAAAGGGTGCCTGGCGTGCTGGACCCTCTCGGTTTTGGTTTTGGTTCTTTTTCGAAAAGAACGCCCCCTGGGGTCGGCCAGTCCCGCCGGCCACCCGGAAGAGGTGGTTGCCATCGCCAAAAACGGCCGTTTCGCTCGGGACATCCTGACAAATCGCGCAGATGGCCCAAGATGGCCTGCAAGATGCCTCCAAGACAGCCAAGATGGCCTCCAAGACGGCTAAGATGGCCCCAAGATGCATCCAAGACAGCTCAAAATGGCTCCAATATGGTCTAAGACGGCCAAAAAGGCCCGCAAGAGGCCTCCAAGACGGCCCAAGAGGCCTCCAAGACAGGTGCCAACATAAGACGCAATTTGGTGTACACAGATGCCAACATAAGCGGCGCGTCACCGCGAATCATACATTTGGCGCTGGCCCCAGCGCGCGTAAGTGCGAGTTTTGCGCCCTTCGAGGACTTAGCATCATGACAACCCAAGTAAGAGGCCCCCAAAAAGATCTCAGCGTTCTCGCCAGTCTCGGCGCCCGGCGCTCCAAGGCGGCCCAAGAGGACCCCAAGATCGCCCCAAGACTGCGAAAGAGGCCCTCTTGAGGTCCTAAACAGGGCCCCAAGACCCCCCAGAGAGCCCCAAGACTGCCCAAAAGGCCCCCAAGGCGAGAGGGGCCCAAGAGGGGCCCCAGACGGGAAACCCGAACTGACGTTTCGAGCCCTCCGCACCAAGATGACCCCCGAGACCGCCAGCAGGCCCCCAAGAGGCCCCCAAGGAGCCCCAGGCGGCCCCCAAAGGGCAGAAAAGAAGCCCCAAGAGGCGCCCGAGAGGCCCCCGAGTGCCCCTAAGGCACTCGAAAACTGCCTCTAAGAGGTTTCCGAGAAGCTGCCCGCAAAACGGCCGAAGCGGCCCTCAAAACGGCACTACCGACCTCAAAGACGGGAGTAAAAAGCCCAAGGCCAGACTGTGGCCCAAACGTTTGTCCGCATGAGCGCTTCCGAAAGGCAAGGGGCGGCTGTGGTTCGCCTTAGGCGTCTTCGATTCGGCGCCCCCTGTGCTTATGCCATGGGTTTAAACATTGGCCAAGGTGGCCTCCAAGACGGTCCAAGACGGTTCATCATGGTGTCCAAGACTCCCAGGTGGCCCCAAGGGGGACAACGTATTACCCCAATATGCCTCCAAGCTAACCCAAGATGGCCCCAAGGCGGGCTCAAAGAGGACCTCCAGGAGGCCAACATCACAACCGATGTCCCTTAGGCTCTGCAAGAACACTCAGGTTCTCACCACGTCGGGCTTCCGACATGGAAGCCTTCAAACTTGCCCCAAGACTACCCAAGAAGACCCCAAGACGGGACGGCCCAAAGCGGGCCTCAGGTCGGCCCGAGAGGCCCCAAAGACGGCCACGAGAGGGCGCGAAGACGATCCCGCAGAGCTCCAAGACGGCCCCAAAACACCGAAACAGGCCCCCACGGCAGCCTCCGAAGGCCGAGAGGCCCCGTACAGGCCCCATCGAGGCCCCCGAATAGCCCCCAAGAGGCCCACAAGAGGCCCCCAAGAAGCCCCTAAAGATGGCCCTAAAGAGGCCCCAAGAGGCCCCAAGGACCCGGGATGCCCCAAGCCAATAAGCCCCCCTAAGGGGCCTCGGTGTCCGCCGCCTCCTCCTTC